TCTCGGGGCTTCATACAAGCGATCCGCCGGCTCTATAGCCGGCGCATCGCTTGTATATTAACGGGCATCGCTGCCTCTTTTCAAATAGCGGGGATTTCCCGCTCGCGCGCGCCGCGCCCTAGCGGGCGGATGTAACAGGACGTGTATACACGCCCAGTTACATCCAAGAAGCTCCCGGCAGGCCGTGTATACACAGCGGCTGGCCGGGAGGTAGTTAATATCACTTTAACTATCAGAGAATGGAACAAACATTCCAAAAACATTTTCTTTCAAATAAAATTCTTCTAGTGTATGACTTTTACTGATCTGATCTACTTCACTGCTTCCTCACTCCATGGAACCCTCTGTAACATGTGCTACTACTGCACACTAGAGTACACGCTAGAGACACCTCCCCACACACTGGCAGTATCAGAGCCCAGACTGGCACGTATGTATTTATACATCTCTGCCAGCAGTCCAAAAAGTATACTTTGGTCAAGATTAGCTGGAAGAGAAATGCAAGGCCACGTATGACCAGTAGGTGGCACGGTGAAGTCCGCTGAGAATGCTCTTATGGCTCTTACTAGGGATGCACCGATACTGGTATCGGTGCCGATACCGAGTGTTTGGGCGAGTACTCGTACGCGCCCAAGTGCTCCAATGCCTAGCCCGATACTTCCGGTATCAGGAAGCTGGGCAGTGTGTAATGACGCGCTGCCCGGCTTCCTGATTGGCCGGGAAGCCGGCTCCATGCTCTCTCGTCACCTGTGATGAGAGAGCATGGAGCCGGCTTCCTGGCCAATCAGGAAGCTGGGCAGTGTGTAATGACGCGCTGCCCGGCTTCCTGATTGGTCGGAAGCTGGCCAATCAGGAAGCCAGGCGCCGTGTAATGACTGATTGGTCGGGAAGCCGACTTCATACTCCCTCGTCTCCTCATGACGAGGGAGCATGGAGGTGGCTTCCCAGCCAATCAGGAAGCCGCATCATTACACAGCGCCCAGCTTCCTGATTGGCCAGAAAGTCGGCTCCGTGCTTCCTCGTCACCTAGTGACGAGAAGCATGTGGACGGCTTCCCTGCAAATTGGGAAGCCGGGTGGCGAGTCTTTACACACTGCCCAGCTTCCTGGCTAATCAGGAAGCCAGGTGGCCAGTAATTACACGCCGCCTGGCTTCCTGAAGGGAACTTCCAGTATTCGGTATCGGCGTGTACCAAAAAAAAACTCGATACCAAAATACCAGTATTGGTCCATCTCTAGCTCTTACCAAAGCTGGTCATATATAGGCCCATCAGTTATCAGCCGTACCCAGGACTCTTTTACGGACTACAAACTTAATTTGGGGGACTTTTGTTTTTAAAAAGAGGCAAAGTGGCTCCACAGGGATTGATTTGAAGATTAACACTGGTAATGGCGGCAGTGGAAGTGGGAGGAATGGGTACCTTTGGCATGGGAGGCAAACCCAAACAACTGGCCCTTTTATGGTAAGGAGAGATTTTTGCGGGCTAAAGAACGTGTAGCATGCAAAGCGTGCCATGGAGCAGCAATGACTGGCTTACATGGTGAAAGGTGGGTGTTCCTAAAGGATATGGTTTATTTTCACAAAGATTTTCACATCTTCAGCTTTCTTTACATCCATGGCTTTTGGTCACATGACATCCCTGAGTCACAATAAAATTGGTGCTGGAAGACTTTCTGCTACCACAGGTCTGAACAGGGAGCAGGTAGCTGTATATAGTATCAGTGGCTGCCTGTCCTGCTCTGTTCGATGTCTGAATGGTAAAATATCTCCACTCAGGGTCAGCAGCCGAGCATATATTATTAGTACTGGCCCTGACGGGTGTTCAACATCCCCC